GCATGGAGAGACCATGCCTCTGCTTTTCTGGTCCTGTGAGCCAACTCCATTGTAATACCTTGACAATAAAACAGCAAGCCCAAGGCAGTCCAGCCTTGAACAAGCTTCATGCAGCTCAAGGCACAGCATGCTAGGGCTACCTAAAAGAAACTACAAACAGACTAGACCCGTCAGAGAGACCATGACACTGACTCCCTCGTTTCCTCATTGCTTTTTTTCACCTCACTTGGCTGAGGGCATCATTCAGCCCCTAAGGATGTTAAGGCAGCACAGAATCAGAGACAGGACGAGGGTAGTAAAAGCCTGAGCACCTTTTGGTGCCTGATTATACAGTTCTCCTTTAGCGAAGGGCTCAGACCAGTTGGGGTAGTAAAAGCCACTCTGTGTCATCTGCTTTCCCCCAGAAGTGCCACGTCCTGCTCGGGACCGCCCCAGCAAACCCATGCCGTACCCGACGGCAGCACCAGCTGCAGCTACTCCTGCCATTTTTGTGCCACGTTTCGGGCTGCTCTCTTTGCTCAGGCTGCTGCTGCTCTTGGCTAAGGACTGGAAGCCTCCACGCAGCCCTCCGCTTTTCACACTGCCTCTCCCACTGCTCCTTCCTCCTCCGCCTTTGCGGCAGAACGCGGCATCGCTGAAGAGAGCTATCAGCAGTACTGCTATCCAGATCCAGGCATCCAGGTGTCTCATCCTCACAGACCTGCAGCAGGTACAAAAAGAGAGGACAGTGAGCTTTGTACTGCATACAGGAAACTATACAAACAACAGAAGCACTTATGCCCAACCTGTCAGTCTTCCCATGTGTGAAGAAGCAGCATGAGGCAGCAGGGTCCAGTGGGTTGAGTGACTTAGCTAGGACTCTGAACTCCTGGGTTTAACTCCCAGCTCTGCCCCGGGCCTGTTGCAGATTTCAGTCCAGTCCCTTCCTTTCTCTGCAACCCTGTTTTTGCCTGGAAGGTTTGCATAGTAAAGCCTTCCAGAGAGGGGCTCCTTTATAGATATGCATGTAAAGTGCCTTGCACAGTCGAGAGCCAGCTACGTTGAGGTCTCTAGGCACTAACCTTGATAAAAAGAATTACTAGGTTTACCACTTATGGATAAGCTAAAAAAGGAGATTGGATTTGACTTTTGTATCCTTTCTATGACATTCACATGGTGGTGTGCTCAAGCATAAGTATCATGAAATTTTCAGAGCAAATAACTGTATCTACAATGATTTAAAGGGGAGTACTGGCTATAGCTCACCGGTGCTAAGCCAGTGGGTCTGAGGAGCTCAATGGAAAGACCAAAGTCACTAGAAAGATTTCCACTGACTGCAAACCAGATCCCAAGGGCATAATTATCTCCAGAGCTAGGAACAGTTCACAAGGGCTGTTAGAGCAAGCAGCACAACTGAATCTTCTGCCCAGGAGCTGAGCCAACAAATGCATTGTGTTTGACCTGCTGAGCCATCGTTGCCCAAATGCCACCCCCAACCCTGCACATTAGCAGAGCCAGACCCTGGCTCTTTGCAAAAGCCTTTTGAAAAGCCACATGCATGCACGGTTCCAGAGCGAGATGTCCCATTGAAATGAAACAGAAGAGCTGTCCTCTCTAAGTCAGCATTTCTCTTTGGTGCCAGCGGATGCAAATAATTAATGGATGAGAGCCATAAAGTACCTCTTTAACAAGCACACAGTGGGAAGGAGGGGTTAGATTAGAACAAAACTCATTCTACGCAGTTTTTTGGGGAAAAGCTGCCTTATTTGGGAACTATCACAGGACCTGATTCTGTAACAAACTGCCCAGCAGACTTTTCTAGGATAGCACCAAGGATATGATGAGTCCCTGTCCCCAAGTCCTTCTCTCAAAATAGAGAACCACAGCACAGATTCCACCCCACCCTCTGTGCTGTGACTTCCCAGTAGCATTTGAAGGGGGCCAAGAGGTGATGCATCAGTGGAGACAGGGTTTCCCTTTCCAATGCAAACTCCCCCCTTCCCAGATTTTAACTCCAGACACTGCTTCCCAATTTTGTTATATAGAATAAGATCAAGTCAGTCCTGGGATGGGTGAGGTGGAAAGAAGCAGACCATCACTAAAGGGTACACACAGATCGCTGCCTCTGAAAAGACATTTTGCTCATAGAACGGGTAGCCCCAAATATAGGCCTGATTCAGGTTATACCTCAGGAAAGAGGAGCTAGAGATTGGAACTGATTCATTAAGATTCAAAATCTCCTTATTGTTTCATAGTAGCTAAGGTCAGGAGGGACCTGAACAGATCATCTAGCCTGACCCCCTGCCACAGGCAGGAATGAATTGCTGGGTTCACAAGACCCCAGACAGGTTGATCATCCAACCTCCTCCTGAATTTGCCCAAGGTAAGGGTGAGGACCACTTCCCTGGGAAGTTGGTTCCAGATTTTAGCCACCCTAACTGTAAAATATTGCCTTCTGATCTCCAACCTAAACCTATTCTCCATCAGCTTATGACCGTTGTTCCTCATCACCCCAGGTGGTGCTGGGGAGAAAAGGCCTCTGCCTATTTGCTGTTGATCTCCCCTGATGAGTTTGTAGGCAGCCACCAGGTCCCCCCTCAGCCTCCTCTTGCTGAAGCGGAACAGGTTCAGGTCCCTCAGTCTCTCCTCATAGGGCCTGTCCTGCTGCCCTCTCAACAAGCAGGTGGCCCTCCTCTGAACCCTCTCCAGGCTGGCCATATCCCTCTTGAAGTGTGGCCCCCAGTACTGGACGCAGTACTCCAACTGCAGCCTGACCAAAGCCGCAGTTGGTGAGTTTTTAAGGAGAGACTGGGGAAATATCTGTCCCAGATGCTTGAGGTGCAGCAGAATCAACCATTGCCATGGGTTGGACTAGATGATCCTTGAGTTCTTTCCAACTCTACCACCTACCAATTAATTTTTTGACTTTACTTTCTAGAAATCTTCACTTTAGCTAACCCAGCTCCTGTATTCTAACGTTCCCAATGCCCAATTCCTGGTATTTTAAAGCATCTATAACCCTTGTACCAAGCCCTAGAAACTGCACAGGAATCAATGGAGATTTCTTACAAATTTATATAGGGTTACTGAGGGCCAATGGGCTTAGGAGACTGGGAGCACATGGGTGAATACATTAGGATACATGCATGTAAGATGCAAGTAACAAGCGATTAGCATTAAGGTACATACACTTAGAATAAACATAATAGGCAATAGGCAGTCCCCAGTGGTAAAACCTTTCAGCAGCAGGTAACAAGGTAACCAATAGCATAGGCACCAACTTTTATTTTTTGCTGGAGGGGGCCTAAGATGATGGACATGGGGAAAGTTTTAAGCATTTCAGATGACAGCCCTCTTCCCAAAGGGGCCAGGACCCTTGGACCCCTACATACTTGGTACCTCTGACCAATAAGAAACACTAACACTGAGGGCCCCTTGAGCTCTCTCTCAACTCCAGAGGACCCTCAAACCAGTCTTCGGTCCCACGGTATGCCTAGTTTCAGATTTCATAGACATTAGGGCTGGAAGAAAGCTTGCAAGATCATCAGGTCCAGCTCCCCTGCCCAAGGGGCAGGAAGTCGGCTGGGGTCAAATGTTCCCAGCAAGATAAGCATCCAAGCTCAGTTACCATGCACCCAGGTGCTGTGCCCGAGCCCCACTGCTGTGGCTTGCAGAATCGGCTCTGCTATACACTCGAGCCCCGTACTCAAGACCCGCAGCTATGGTTCACCAAGTCAACCCCACTGCAGCTACCTGCCACATGCCTCACCAGCTGCAGCCTCTTAGGATCACCCCACCATAGCTCTTGGGTCTATACCATGCATCTCACCACCTGCTGTCTTTTGGGATCGGTCCTGCTGGAGGTCCTAGATCTCCGCTTGCGTCTCACCAGCTGCCGCCTCAGGATCAGTCCCACTGCAGCTCCTGGATCTCTGGTATGGGTCTCACCAGATGCTGCTGGCACAACTCCCATGCTCACTTTCACTCAACTGGCACGTTGTGTGTCAAAATCCCAGCTCCCCCTCCACTCCCCGCCCTTCCCCAGCAGCTTATTAGATCCGTTACAGTCAGGTACACATTAAATTTTCCTTCAAGGTCTTGAGCTTTCCAAGCAGCAGAAGGCTATACTTTCTATAGCTTAAAGGTACAAGTAACCCGTTTTCATGGCTGCAGGCCAGACAACAGTTACAAAAGGATGTCCTGGACTTTTATAAGTTTTTAGTACCCAACATACTCTCTGCCCAGCTGATGTAACCAAACCCAAAGAACATGAACAGGATGAACCCCTGCCCTCTCTCCTCCAAAGAAATTAGCTTCACTTACTTGTGTTGCTTGGGTTTTGGGAGAGTTTCCCGTTTCCTGCCTTTGTCTAGGGAGGACTTCCAGTGTGCTGCATGCTGCATGGGTTGGTGATGGAGGTCTATGATTTCCTATCAGTTAACAAAGCCTCCCACCTTGTTGTCATTTGAGTGACAGGCAGAGCTGACATCACCCTTTTCACCTCCTGCCCAATGAGGGAGGATTATTTTAGATCCATGTGAGGTCTCTGCAATAGACACTGTTAGAGGCACACTATAGAAATTCCCTGCTGGGGAATTCAGTCATTCTTTACCTGGCTTTACATGAAGCATTACAATTGGCATCGCTCTCCAGTGGTCTGGTATCAGCAAGAGGGGAAGTGGTTACTACTTGTGTTGTACTCTCTCAGCTCAGATGGACAGGAAAGCTTCAAGGCAGCCACTTGTCCACTCTGAAAAAGCACTGAGGTACACTGAGGAAGACAATGTGACCATCTAGTCCACCTGTCAGGTCAAGAACGGTGTCTGAATTGATACAAAGGCAGGGCAAGAGTATAAAAGCAAACCCATCTTCAGGCTCCAGGGCACTGACTGAGGGTCAGAAAGAAACATCTCCCACGTCAGTGTATACGTGTGCAAGTGTACACTCCGTTAGATCCTTGGTTTTGTCTCTTTTTGCCCCAGTCCTCAGCCCCCAAAAATACACAGGAAGTCAGTTTTCTCAGTAGCATTTCTATCTGCAAAGTGCTTTATTTAAAACAAAACAGGATCTAAGTTATGTGCTTTCAGAATGTATTGAATAATTACATAAAAATGTTCTTGTTAATAAATGAGGCAATGTCAAAAGTCATGGTCAAAATATATAAAAAGCATCTGTCACTTTACAATACTCTCGGTAACACAAATGTTGGTCAGGTCGCCGTAAAAGGTACCATTAAAAAAAAAAAAAAAAAAGCTTACAGAGGTGCATTGAAAAAACTAAAAGGAAGGAAGTCACCATGTTTTTTCAGTTAGCATTGATGTACAAAAAGGTATTGCTAGTTTAGCTCCACAGATAGATGCATACAAATGTCCTAGTATAGATGTACACAGATATCCTGGGGCAGATACTGCAGGTGGTAGCTGAGGCTCAAACTGCAGTGGAAAAGGAGAAACTGGGATTAACCCAGTAATGGTTTTAGTTACAGATCTGGGTTTGAAATCACAAGAATCTCAGATGTCCGCTTGGAGAGCGAGGGGTGGGAAATGCTTCTGGCATGGCTCCGGTCTGTTCCTCCCACTTGACAGTGCTGTCATTCTGGCTGCTGCTCATTCCCTTCAGAAACAACGATGCAGAATTGCCCCATGCATTTCTTTGCAAAGGAGAAGGTATCCAAAGCCAGCCCATGAGGCAGCAAGTCTCAAAAGAGACCTCTGAAGACCTGAGATCAAATCATATTCAGCTTGGAGACCATTATTATGCTGACCCTGAAACCCTCTTTTAGCTCCACTTTCTACCCCATGAAAAAGCTTTGCTAGACCCCAAAGGAAATAATACTGATAACTGCAACTGTCTCCCTGAAGCACTTGTTCTGTCACCAGAGCTTAATTCCCAGACTTTCCCATAAAGCAAGTTCCCCTTTAACTGGGCTTCCTCTATGCATTACTTCAGGGGCAGCAAGAAACAATCTTTGAGGGCATGCTGTGCCCACTACTTCCTTTGGCTTGAAGTCCTAATGCTTGCTAACTAACTACCTCAACAAATCCCTCGCTACAATGCCCAGGTGAAGGTCCATCTACATTAGGGAAACTTGCCTTTTAATAGGCTTGCTGCAGCAGTGCAAAATGGAGCTCATACTGGATAAGGGCAAGTCTCTATTTTCTGATATAGGAGGGAACATCTAAATCAGAGAAAATGACACTAATGCAGGCAAGCCCCATATACACTAGCTGCGAGCCTTAAGAGATAGCTCTCCCCACCGTCTCCCCGTGGACAATAGCAAACTTAACTTCATCCATTTCATGAACAACAACAAAAAAAAACATCACTTGAACTCCAAAATAAGGAGACAAGAAGGAATTCACAGGTTCTTTCTTTTGTGCTTTTGATCCCCAAAACAGGTCTGGAATCATCTCCAGGATCCCTTCTACTTGGAAATTCAGGGTGCAACTCTTCATACTGTCCTTGTGCTGGTCGAGTTTCATTGCAACATCATTCAAGAGAAGCTCATTACTGTAAACTCTATTTTTGAGAGAGATATTTGGCGTGTTTAGTCTACCAGAGCCTGCATCTTATTTTTGTTTTAATTCCACAATAGGACTAGTGCAAATCAGATAGCAGGGGTCAAGGGAAAGGGTTATATGCAAACATTAAAGAGAGAAACACACACACCGGGAGGGAATTCTCCCACAGGAAGTCCCAACAACATTCAACTGTAACTTTTCCTTTCAGCAGAAGCCACCAACTAAGGAAAATATTTCCCAGGTTATTTAAACCTATATTAAAAGCTCCCCTTCTCCTTTCAATTATTGCAATCAATTTTTTTTCTTCTAATACATCACCTTTGCTGTAGGTTACTCTGTTGTGACATTGTGTAGGAATGGGTAGGGTTTCCTCTTCAAACCACACGTGAGAGGTTAGTGCTGATGAACAAGGCTAGGAACCTCTATCTGAGCAAAGTGTGTGCTTAACTTGAAACAATGGAGTCACTGGAATTCCAACCTATGCTTAAACTACCTGTTGAACCACAGCCCTGAAAGCCTTGGGTTACCTACATAAACAGGCATGGCATGAGTAATGGCCATAGAAACATCCCCCAAACACTCCTGTGCCCAATGTGCCTTCACTATCTTCATGGACTACTCAATGCTGAGACTTTCTGTTCATTTGGCCACTGAGAAAAGGCTACCTACCACCAATTCTGGCATGAAGCATCATGCCGCTAGGACCAGTTCACTGGGAAAGTCACACCCAACACTTGCTTCCTGAGAGGACCACTGAACAGCCAACAAAACAAATCAGCTTATATAGCCTCTTCCAGCTGGAACTGGACTAGGTTTGACTGGAGTTACTTAAACAAAATAAAAGCAGTCCAGAGGTGAAGGGATAACGCCATCCATAGTTCATGCTGTGCAATATACAGACCGCGAGCATCTCTCGCTCCAGGAGCTCTGGAGCACATCAACTACTTGTCCACAGACGGAAGCCTGATCTATACTAAGATACAAAAGGGTGAAATCCCCACTAGACAGCTTGTCACAGCAATGCAGAGCTAGTGATTCTGTCAGTCGGTTGAAAATGCAACTTTGTGTAATTTACCTTGTCTGCCAGTGGGTCTGATATATGTGGAAAGAGGGACTGGAGGGGTAAAGGAGTCCTCTAAGCCCCACCACAACCAGGAACCCAAAGAACAAAGAAAATAGAGATGCAGCCCCTGAAGCATCCAAGTCCCATCTCAAATTAAATGACATTGCATGGATAATTTCCCGGGGTATTCACTGAAGACAGAGAACCTCACGGCTCAAGGGTCATCTGAAACCTGTCAACTGCATGCTATAAACCTGCTACCTTATCCAGCAATATATCCCCTCACATCACAGCTTGGATAACAACTCATGTTTTTCTTCCCTAGTCCAGAACTCTTCAAATGAATGAAGAGGCCTTAACATTAGATCACGCCACTGCCTTGTTTTCTATTGGTTTAAGCTCTGCATTAAATCAACCTTTCAGGTCATCATCTAAAAAGCAGAACTTCTTACTTGACGCTCAGTCTGTGCCCCAGGTAAGTATACATGGTTTAACATAGCAAGTTAATGATTGGAACAAGAGAGCAAAATCCTCATATTGCCACTGTTAGGCTTCCACTCCAAAGGAAGAGTTGAGTCAAGAAGCAAGCCTCTACCCATGCCCAAATAAATGCCTTGCAAACTCCCACTGTGCTTCTACATCCACCATGCCATGCAGATTCAGAGGCAGATGCTTAGAGAAAGATTTAAGACATCAGATTTCCAAAGGCTAGCTAGCTCTTCCCCCAGGGAGACTGGGGCAAGTGTGAAGCTGAAAAGTATTATTCACATGGCAGAGGGACAGGTGTGCTGTTTTCAGGAATTTAAAACTTCAGTTAATGGCATGACATGCTCCATTCAAGACTGCAAACCCAAGGCACACTATCATGGGCGGAATTGCTTGGCATAAGTCTGGACAAAGATGGGAGTCTTTTATCCCTGCTTGAGACAGGCATTAAAGCAAGATGGCTCAAGAAGCAGAGCTACTCTCCTAAAACACTCAAGCCACAAAAAAGTAAAGGTTACAATTACAGGGCTTCAAGAACTTCTGCCCCACCCTGACCCCTGCAGCTCTCCTGACACATCTTGGGTCAGAAAGTAGTCAGGGCTGTCAGGGTGCCCCCATCCAAGCTTATCTCCCACCAGTCTCCCGCTTCCTGCTCAGACAATACCTGCCTTCTCCTAGCTTTGTGATACACAGATGAAAAGGGCACACCAGGGTTGGGCCAGAGCAGACTGCTTGCTTCATATTGTGGGCTAGCTCTTTGAGGACCAGTGCTTAACTTGCCACTATGGTTGAGTGTCTCTAGCTCAATGGCAACAAACAGGGGGAAAGCCAAGACCATTTGCATGTGGATAGAGAGTCCCTAATGAGAAATAAACTAAAAACAGGTCAGGAATGGCTGAGCATGGGGGGAGTTTTCCTGACAAGAAAGAAGGGGAGAAATCCAAGCAGGAGAGGAGCAAAACCTATCTTTCACCAGTGCAAGTAAAACAAAAGCTCCCTCTGGCTACATTCTGGCAGAACCTTCTCAAAAGGAAAAAGTACACGGCAAAGGATCCCACGTAGAACAAAGCTACACAGTACATTCACCTTTGCAATCAAAACACATTTCCTAATGCATTGCAACTCAACATAAGCTGGAGTCAGAAGCAATTATTGCAGTTATTGTAGTTACTGTGACCTTGGACCAGTTTGGTGCACTGACCAGGACTGGTCATGTTTTAAGTGTGCTGGTATGGCAAATGCTAGTTTCAATGGACTTGCATTTTGTTTACTTTCTTTTTCATACAGACATGAAAATATATGCATAGTAATGTCAGAATTTAGCACAGTTAAATTTCTCAGAGTGGGATTAGGCAAAAGGCAAAAGAATATGACCTACTCCTCTTGAATTGACTCTTCAGTCCAAACTCTGCAGGTTAAAGCAGTTGGGCATGGCACCATAACCTTGGTAGAAATATCCCAAAGTCTTTCCCTTCAGCACGCTAGTAAAGTAGCTCCCCTCTTAGCAAATACTAAGCACAGTCGTTCCAAAAATCACTTCTGAAGGGTATTTTCCCCCCCACACAAGACACATACTTGCATTCAGCAAATTACTTCCTTGGGTGGATTTGGGGAGGGGTAACTACTGGAAGATGTTCCTTCTGTGGAACAAGTCCATTGGCTCATCCGCACGAAAGTCTGCTGAGCAGATACAGGGCACACCTCAGTCTCAGCAGGGTTGTGTGTGGTCAGGTTCGATTCCCAGAAGGAAGTGCATCTTCTCTCATTACAGCATATTCTTCATGTAAACAACTATTCTTAAAAGAGAATCTGTTGCCAAGTCAGGCCCATGGCACAGTGCTGAAAAGAACTTTAGATTGTTGCTGGGCTCTCAGAAATCTCTTCTAGTCTTTGTTCTATCATTCCTCGGAGGTGAGTGTACCTTAAAAAAAAAATAAGGAGAAGAAAATAAGTGAGATCTTAGCCCAAAGAAAAACTTGAAAATATTAAAAAATGCTTTCGCCCACAATTCACCCTCTAGCAGGAATCCTGAGCATAACATTTGCAAGTCACTGGAAATCACTGAGCTCAGACTTCCTTAGATGCAAAGTTCCCTTTCACTAAGAATACCTTACTCCCAGATACGCATCTTCTATGGGCCATCAGCCTTTGAGCATCTCAATTGTTGGAGAAGGCCATGACAAGAGGTCTGTGCCTTGGAGACGGCCAAAGCCCCAAAACACCTCAATGTGAGGACCAGGCTTGTACACCACAAACAGGTTTGGGCACCTCAAACCAACTTGGTTGGCACTTCCCAGTGAACAGCACTCTCCACTTCAATATTTAGGCAGCCAGACCTCTCTCAAGGCCCCATCTGTTTAGCTGACGGATACTAGAAAGACTGAATTTGCCAAGGATTATTAACACATGCATACCTTCACATTCAGCTTTGTTGTTCAAATGGAAATGAGAGCATTTCCCATTCTATACCTATCAGGCACTGTTTATGGGAATAAACTATACTGCTTAAAGCATACTGCCAGGAACACTGTCCCTCCCTTTGTGGAAATATCTCTGCAAGGAAAAATCTGGAATCCATTCCAACTACCAGATCATCATGGGTCAGCACTCTGGCTCCAAGGCTAATGATGTCTTCTCTCCAGAGTTCCTAAGTATGTGATACTGGAGATATAATGAGGGCTCAGCCCCATGGTGGAATAAGCCAAATAACAGGTGCAGTGAGCCAAAAACAGGATTACAGGGAGCCAAATGGCATGTCAAAAACAGCTTAGCATCTACCCCAGGCAGCTTGGCCCTAGACGTGCTAAGCCTGCAGCTAACAATGAAGTGTGTCAAAAGCCTGAAAATCAACCAGAGAAAGGAGAACACTCATATCTGCACCAGACACAGACAAAATATAAGTCCAGAAGGCTCACGGGTATTGTAAAATAAAGATACCCAAGAACACAAGACCTTGTCAGATCAAACTTCATACTCTTGTGTCTTGGCTCTGCATTCCTCCTCCACGCTTGAACAACTTGGATCCTGAGGATCAAGCTTTTCACATGTAGGCGTTTGAAGTTAAGCTCCTTAACCAGATTCAGGAGCCTAAATGCATGGCATGCTTTTCCAAAAAGGACTCAACCACCAGCAACTCAGTAGTTCAGTAGTGCTGCTGGAAGCTCGGTACCTCTGCAAAACTACAGGCACCTACTCAGGCAAGTCTCAACCAAGGGCAGTAATGGAAAAACACCAGATCACTTGGAAAGGAAAACTTACTTGTGCATGAGCTTCTTCACTTCACGATCTTCTTCTTCTTTGAGCTTCTGGATGAAGCTTTTGAGAACTGGCATTTCAAATTTGATATACTGAGCAACCTGTGTTGAAAGGAAATGCAAGTCAGAAAAAAGAAAAAAAAAAGTGGAGGAACCTGGACAAATGTATTCCTAAAGGGTTACAGTCCCGGGCTCCTAAAAGTTTTATTCCTCACATGACAGATCTGAAAAAGGTTTGTTCTAAAACCTTGTAACGTTCCTGCCCTGACAGCCAGCATGAAGCTTACCATACACGCCTTTAAAAAGTAGCGCTTAGCTCCAGCACTAGGGCTAAACATGGTGGTGACTTGTCCCAAAATGATTATCCTTATATTTGCTCAAACTTCCATAGGAGCAGGATTAGACCAATGCTAACAATTTCTGAAAGCTCCACCCTGAGTGATTCAGGCAAGGGTCACAAACCCCATCTGTGGTAAAGCCAGGCTCAGAATGGACCTCCTAGTCCCTTAGGAAATACCATTTGCCAACCACTTCATCTGGGCAACAAAAACCCTCCAACAAGTTTGTCATGTCTCTTTGGAAGCACATCTCATTGTTTTGCAACATACTTCACTGCACTGGTATCACATGAGGCTGTCTTATGATTTGACTTTTGTTCCTTTTTATCCACTGGAACTCAATGAAACAGCTGTTTGCACATTTGCAAGGAAGACACCAAGCACAACTCTGGGAGAACGCTGACATTTGAAGTCTACGACTTAAAGGTCTTTGCAACTCATTTCAAGAAAACCCTATTGCCGGGGGAATTGGGAAGTGGGACAGCAAGGTAAATAAAGCCAGTTTCCTTAAGAAAGGCAATTAGATGCATTTTGCTCAAGTTGCTGAAACTGAAAGCAAAATGAAATTTTTAAAATATATTCTGTTCTCTGTCACACCCTTCTAAAACCAGAATAACTTCATAAAAATAATCAGTCCATTTATTCCACTCTTAAATTAGTTAAGTAAAGCAGAAGTCCCCCCTGCCATTCTAAAGCAAGGTCTCTTTTCTGGCCATGCCATTTACATCCTGTTGTTGCACATAACTGGAAATCACTTACTAAGAAAATTTCTCTAAAATTGTTACATTTCATTAATTTGTCTCAAATCTGGGGTGGTCTCAACTCTATATGGGTGTATTTAACTTCATGGACATGTGCACATTTTTTTTTTTTTGCATGGAGGTCAGCTCCACCATGACTGGCCTCATGCTGGCTTTCCAAGCATGGTGAAGATATTTCCGAGAGCCCGGCAGGACAAATTATGCTGAGGGGAAACCAGCACGGGTTCGTGGCAGGCAGATCGTGCCTGACCAATCTAGTCTCTTTTTATGACCAGGTTACGAAACGCCTGGACACAGGAGGAGGGGTGGATGTCGTATACTTAGACTTCAGGAAGGCCTTCGATACGGTATCCCACCCCATCCTGGTGAACAACTTAAGAGGCTGTGACTTGGATGACTACACAGTCCGGTGGGTGGCGAATTGGCTGGAGGGCCGCACCCAGAGAGTCGTGGTGGATGGGTCGGCTTCGACCTGGAAGGGTGTGGGCAGTGGGGTCCCGCAGGGCTCGGTCCTTGGACCGATACTCTTTAATGTCTTCATCAGAGACTTGGACGAGGGAGTGAAATGTACTCTGTCCAAGTTTGCAGATGACACAAAGCTATGGGGAGAAGTGGACACGCCGGAGGGCAGGGAACAACTACAAGCAGACCTGGACAGGTTGGACAAGTGGGCAGAAAACAACAGAATGCAATTCAACAAGGAGAAATGCAAAGTGCTGCACCTAGGGAGGAAAAATGTCCAGCACACCTACAGCCTAGGGAATGACCTGCTGGGTGGCACGGAAGTGGAAAGGGATCTTGGAGTCCTAGTGGACTCCAAGATGAACATGAGTCGGCAGTGTAACGAAGCCATCAAAAAAGCCAATGGCACTTTATCGTACATCAGCAGATGCATGACGAATAGGTCC